CCAGGGCGTCTTACCCTCATGGCCCATTAGTGGACTAGGCCAACATATGTGATCGCATTTGTGACATGGTAAAAGCCCCATAAAACTGCATACCTCAACCATACTGCGGCTTTCTGTTGAAACTGCTCTCTGTAACCCTGATGTGACAGGCAAGCAGTCCAAACCCACGCCATCTTGGCCCCTGCGACTTGTAATAAGTAACTAAGGTCTGTAATTTCCACCCTACCAAGGCCATGTGTAAACTAACACTTATCTTGACTTCTGTAAATGTTTAAGTAACAATCGCAATGTCCAAAGTCCCCTGGCCCTCGGAATGTCTGGAGCCCCTCATCCTCATCTACACACAGAAGGTGATTTACGGAATCCACTGGCCCTCCGAATGTCTGAAGCTTCTCACCCCCACCCCCGCCCCTCACCCTCACCCTCACCCCCAAGGTTGTTTACAGGCATAAAATGTCTTAACACCCTCGGGACCATGGGTTGGAGAGACGTGAGTCCTCCATGGCCGCCGGCAATAAAGACCCTGCAATTTGGCATACTTTTTGTCTTGGTGTTGACTTTCTATGCCCGCTCCAGTACAACACATTGGTCTTGCCATAGTTTAGGGGCGACTCCTCTGTTGGGCCAGTACCATAGTCTCAGTTTGGGTTACCCCAAAAGCTGACTCTGAGACAGGGACTTGATTCCAAGAGGTTTCTTTGAGGGTGAGCCTAGAAAACACTTGTAGAGAAGTGGGAACATGAGACAGAGAAGGGCAGAAAGCCAACACATCCATGGAGTGCCATCAAGCGAGTTCTCATGTGGATACCTGGAGCTTGATCCTGCTGGGAACTTTGGGAGACCCTTTAGAACCCACATCGGAGTTATCCCACCAATAAAGCAAAGGAATAGGCAATGAGTCAGGAGCTCAGCTGAACTGAAATAGAGCTGAGCCACAGGTGTCTGAACAGCCAAGTTAAAGCAATAGCCAAAAATGAGAGTTGTCTTTGGTAACTCACTGCAATGGTCTAAAGAAGCCAGACCAGTGGAAGCCCAACTCCCCGTCCCATCTCTCCGCCCCCTGGACTCATGCATTCTCACATCCTGACATCACTATGGGGGATCAAGTGGACCAGTACGGATGTGGAGGTGGGGGTCATCTCACTGTTGAGGGAGGCCTAACAAAAGGTTCCTGCGGGTCTATGTACCCTCGGGGAGGGGGAGGCGAGGAAAGGGCTCCAAGTAGAAAAGTGCTGGGTCCTGAGTCAGAGTGGGGGAGGTGGTGTCAAGGATTCCCCACTCCTCGACTTGGAGGTCTCTGCAGAGGCGCCTGAGGAGGACCTGGCCCATGTCCTCAGATAAAAAGACCCACAAATAAAGGTGCCAGGCAAAGAGGGAAAGGGTTTGGCCAGCCTGGGAGCCCGAGTGTTTTATAGCAACTCCTTCAGAGATTGCATGCAAAGCTCTGGCTGTGTCCCAAGCCTCGTGTTGGGAGAGCAGCTCCCCCAATCCCCTTGGGGGCCTGCTGGGTAAAGCTGTTGTAACTGCCCATGGATGACACATAGGTTTTTAACCAGAAGTCAGACTCTTCCCAACTTTCATGAATCACTGATTGAGGGCTACTTCTGGGGAGCATTAAGAGTCCCCAAAACTCTGGCTTGCCCTAAGGTGGGCAGAGCAGGCACTTATGACCAGAGGAAGGCCAAGGCAGAGGGTGGTGCAGGCATGTGAAGCCTAGCCAACCTGCCTTTAAATCTGGGGGCTGAGCAGGCTTGGACCAGGTGTGGGCAGGGTTTGCTTCTAGCACAAAGCTCAGGACTTTCTTCAGTGGTCACAAGGGAGACCCTACTTCTCAAGATGGGGTCTGACTTTGGGATGGAGTTAATGGTAGATGTGTCAGGTAGAGTTCATCCCAAGAAGCATGACCAGTGGCAGAAAGACATTAAGAAACTTATTGCAAGGAATTGCCCTGTGTGTTTGTGGACATTGGCCAAGAAAGTACAAAATTGTAGGGCAGGTTTTCGGGAAGTGAAGCTGGAAGTCACCAGAACAGGCCAAGCTACTCCACAGGCAGAACTCTTTCTTCTTCAGGGAAGCCTTGGCTCTGCTCTTAAGACCTTCCAGCTGATTAAATCAGGCCCGCCCAGCCTATCTAAAACAATCTCCCTTATATAGAGCTTATTGCATACGGACTCTAATCACACCTACAAACACTACTGCAGTAACATCTGGATTCGCGTTAGAATAGCAGGATGGTAGCCTAGTCAAGACGACACATCAAAACACTATCGCAATATAAAACAGAGAAAGAGAAAGAGACAATTTCTTGATAACTCCATGAGTTCCTGAATCAAACCATTCCTGAGCCCCACACTCCCTCTGTATGTTCAAACTGAGCTCCCAGAAAACCCAGACTTTGGTGTCTTATGCTGACATTTCTGTACCATGTAACCTACAGCCCCAACTGATATACGAAAGGCTCCAAACAAAAAGGTGACTGCGTCATTCTGACCAGATCTCCCAGGAAAGGTTGTGTTCCAGTCTGGGTCCCACAGAGTGTGAGAGTCATTGACACACAGCAGGGTTTGTGTCTGGGAGCCGAGGAGACTTTGCAACAAGGAGGGGCAAGATTGAATTTCTGCTTTAGAAATGCGCAGTGAGGAGAACCTCTAGGCAGAGAGGCGTTCACCGTGATGCGGTTGTAGGGCTCTTGACGCCACTTCTCATTAAAAAGGGTTCAGGAAGTGGAATGGTTGACTCTCCGAAAGAGAGCTGACTCTGTGTGGAGGGCAGGGAGGAGTGGAGGTAGAGACAATGAAGAATGAGAAGGGTGTTAACATCACCACATCGCTGTTCTGTGTAAGGAGGTGCGGGATTTGAAGGCCTGCACCAGGTGTCATCACATCTCAGCTCCACCCTGGGAAGAATTTGGAGCTGCCCAGAGACAGGAGGGCAGTGGTAAGAGGCAAAGAGCTCCCCATCCAGGGATGTATGCAAGCAGACTCTGGACAAGGACTTGTAAGCAGCAGGGAGGTAGATCTGCATAATTTCTAGGTTCCCTCCTCAATTTCTGTTACTCTGCTGAACCCCAGAGAGACGATGTGCCTGTTTCCTGTGGCTGCTGTAACAAATCGCCACACACTGAGGGGCTCCAAGCTCCATGAATTTACGATCTTACACTACTGGGGTCAGAAGGGGTCTCCCTGGGCCCTTTTTGGAGGCCCTGGGCAGAAATCTTTGCTTACATTCTCTGCTTCTAGAGGCCTTCTGAATTCCTTGGTTATGGGCCTCTTCTTCCATCTTCAGAGCCGGCAGCACAGCATCTTGCAATCTGTCTCACTCTCTGTGGGAAGTAGAAAAGTTCCTTTTTAAAGTTTCCTTTTTCATTAAAGAATAAGTGTGCTAATAACTTTGTGAAGCCCTATCCTAGGTAGCTGTTAGACACGCCATGCTTACAGGCACGTAGTACATTCTGTGTCCTTGTACTTTAACCAAGATATCTGTGCTGGACGTGCTCACAGGCATGTCCCAGCTCTCCGCTGCTTTTACCTGTTTAGAAAGGTTTTAAGTTGTTAGGCAATCAGACTTTAGTTTAGATTGTGAGGTCTGCCTCCCGCCAACAGAGATCGAACACAGCAGTAAGGGTGACCCCAAATGCATAAGGAATAAATCTTACTCGTTTTTCCCTTGTTCATTGTTTTGTGTTTTTCCTTGTTCACTGTACTCCTGCGGCACGATGGCTAGTGAGGGTCCCCTTCCTGGAGTCCAGGAAGTAAAAATTGCATTGCTGAAATATCCTATGTCTCATGCTGACTTCCCTTTCTTTTTTTTTTCTTTAAGTGTGTGCGTATCTCCTCTACTTCAATCATCTTAAGTTGGCAAAAGCGCCATTCCCAATCACAAATACACAGCACTCGTACAGGTTTGTTTCTGAATGGCTGTTTAAAGACAATCCTAAGTTATAACTTGGTTTGACCTAGATTGGAAAGAACCCAAGAGTGAAGTTTAATTGACTACTATTTAAAAAGCATGTGACCGTGTAGATCATCTGTAAAATGTGTGAAGTGTTAAATAATTTTTGATATTACACATAAACCACACAAAATGCCTTTCAGTAAGTAAAAGGAACCATTTAAATACAGGGAATTCTAATTAGATGGGCAGAGTTAAGGCCAAAAGTATAAAATAGCCATTGCTACCCATTTATCTTCAACCCTCACCTTTAAGAGGCAAATGAACACAAAACGCAGGTGAATCTTGCTTAGTTCTGAGACAGTGAAGGAATTTTCCCCATATTTAAATATATTCACATAACCAGTTATATAAATCTAAATATAAAACCAGTCTCCAGTAAGTTTTAAGATGGCACTCACCACCGTTGAGAAAAGTTTGACATTACTAATGAAGTCTAATCATATCTTTAGAAGGGGGGAACAGTGATAGAATTTCCTAAATTGGAATTACTATTAAAATCCAAAAACTGAACATATTCATTTAACCACAAGCCAGTCTTAGTTTTAAATCAGGACTGCCCAACAAAATATTCTGCCAGTCATTCCTGTTGTAAATTCTGGTGTATGAGATCTATTAAAGTGTGGTACACATAAAAAAGTCATGGGACATTTGTTTCGTAATAAATAAGGCAGTGGCCAATTATTACTCATTAGTAACTTTTTTGAGATAAGCTATTAAGTCTTCCCTTTCTCTCTCTTCTTCTTAATGCCGACAAAGATCATTTTTGTTCCAGGAATATACTTCTTGGGATTCTCCAAATACTCCATCAGTGTATCCTCTCCCCAGATAATGCCTTTGCTTTTTTTTTTTTTAACATTGTTAAAAACATTTATTCTGACACATTCTATCATAAGTTAGTGCAAGTTCCACTCTGCTACACATTCATCTGTGACGAGCCTTGGGCCATCCAACTGGAGACCGAACGATGTCCCATCTCTTATCCGAGCCGGACACATCTTCCATGCCGTCTGCTAATTGCTTCCAAATCCAGAAGACCGAATAATCCTTTATCCCCAAAGCAGGCTCAGAACAGTTGGTTCGGGCATTCCAGGATATGCACCTCTCTTAAACCCCAGGTAAATTGCAAGAGGGATAAAACCCCAGCCGATGGCAAACTGACCCCCCTCGAAGAGCTGCTGCAGCCTCTGCTTGGCCTCTTTGCTCAGCTTCACCATGACGACAGCCATGTCGATGCCTTTGTTCTCATTGGCTTCAGTGTAAGTGAACCCAGAGGCCTGACCTGTCTTCCGCCCAAAGATACCATGGAGATTAGGCCCAGTCTTGTGCTTGCCTCCCTTTCCCTCGGTGTGACACTGGGAACACTTCTGAATAAGAATCCTCTTGCCTTTCTCAACATCACCCACATTTAATTCTTTTTCGTCGTTAGCGCAGCAAAGGTTACCGCTCGGAAGCCGGACGTCCCACTCTCCAAGTGCTGGTTTTTCTTTGCGGCACCAAGCAACTATTTCCAACACTCTCTTTCACAGAGACACACACACACAAACACAGACACACATATACACACACGTGCCTTCACGGCCACCCCACTTCCCCACTGCATTCCTCACTTCTCAGCTCTCACCTGAGATGGAGCAGCTGCCAGTGACGGATTAGGGGCTCCAGAAACAATAGGCTTTCTGTTGTCACACCGCTTACCCAGAGTGCCAATTGCCCTCATCAATCTCCAAGAGGACGGAAACTCTATCTCTGTCATTCACTGTCTTTTTACCCATCTCAGTGCCTGGCACACAATAAATAGATAGACACACATCTGGCCAATGAAGAATCCATCCAAAGACAATGTCGATATCTACCTGACAGATGTTCACCTGCTTGTTAGCTCTGACTGTTCAGCTCTCCTGGCATGATGGGGTCCATGCCCCATCTACAACATTAAGAAAACCAGGAGAGACCTTTTAGGGTAGACAAAGGCTTACCTGATTTGTGGGAAAATTCCTGCATGGATTTTTAACAATCAGAGCAGCCAACTGCTGAAGGAGCCTTAGCAGGGAGCAGAGAAAGAGCTGGTGGGAGGATTCAGGTGATTCATGGTACAGGAGACATTTGAGAACAGAATACACATGTGGGGCTCCACCAGCCTGTATCCAGTGCAGCATCTCACGGGATCCCCTGGTGGGGAACCACTCAGGCTGTCCTGCGTAGGTTTCTTAGTGGGCTTGTGCCTTAATCTCTGAGTAACACGAGTAGCCACACCTTCTGGATCATCCACTCTACCTGGCTGCGTGCTGGGTGCTGACAAACAATGATGAAGACCATCCCTCTCTCTGGAGAAGGGCACGGTCGTTAAAAGAGACAGATGCCAGAGGGCAAGTCAACCTATCATGCTGAGGATGCAGGGGAACCCCGGAGATGGGCAGAGAGCAGAGAGAATTCCTGGGGTGTACACTTGCACACATTAGGCTTAGCATGCACACTTGGGCATGTTGGGCTCCGCACAGGCTGTTTTCTTTGTCTCCATCTGCCCTGGGAATCAGCACGAGGCACCTTCTCTGGAATGCTTCCTGATCATCCCACTCCTGACTTGGCGGAGATAGAAGTGGTGAATCCCTTGTGCCTCGTACAGTGCACAGCAGCCTCATTCCTTGTCTCCCCACTGAATGTGACTCCTCAGGGGCCCAGCATCCACCATGTCCCAGTTGGTACCAGTGACAGCTGAGGGCTACAGCCACTCATTGATTCATTCTCATACTCGATGGGAAGGCCCGTATGCCTCCTTGCAGCTCTGAGCTCAGATGATTTGCCCAAGAAGTCCCATGAATAACTGCATGCGGTGTTGCGGGTGGAAAAAGGTCAAATCTCCCAACAGCACATTTACCTCAACTTCAGACTCACAGACAGCTCCTGTTTTCCAGCCCGGCAAAGGCTCCTTGATCTAAAGGTGCAGGACTTATTTGGTCCGTGGGCTTGTTTTTCTTCCCTTAAATTCTCTGAATTAAGCCCATTCCATGAACACATCCAGAAGCCCTGGCACATTTCAAAGCAGACCTAGAGTCCCCGGCTGGGGCCAGCTAGTCTGCAGGGAGGGAGTGCGGAGACTTCTTTATCCGGAAGAGAACACATCTGTGCCTCCACTTGCCACCTCCAAGCACACACAGTTCTGCCCTGGCTGAGAGGGTGGTCCCTGTGTCATCTTGCTAGAGGTGTTTAGAGAACGCATTCTCACCTACAAAACAGGAAGGCATGGCTTGCAGTCCCTGCCCAGAGCTTTTACCACCAGAAACTAGATAAATAAAACATCGGGACTGGAAGAAACCTATGCTCAGGGAGATGCTATCCTGTTTACGGACAGGGAACGGAGGCCAGCTCCAGGAGGGATTTCTCCTGGCAAATACAGTGGGGACAAGCTGGAGCCGGGCTTCACCCCCATGGTTGATCGTCAGTCCAGCCCTGCTCCCAATAAACTAGGAGCAGGATGCCATGATCTAGTTCACCCACCCCTGTGGGCTGCGTCTTGGTTGTTTTGTTCTGGGGATGTGCAGCTCACCCAGGACACTCCCCTTTCCTCCCTTGTTGGAGGAAGCTTTGGAGAAGGAAAAGTCCAGACATAGCTCCAGGGCTCCACTGTTCTTCCCAGCTTCGTATCCCCAGAGGCCCTCAGTTTCCTCGCCTGGGAAATGGGAATAATGCCATTCACTTCATTGGCTGTGAGATATTCCCGATGGTAGCTGGTCTAGGGGTTGCTGGTGTGTAAGTCATGCTCAGTGTTAAGGAAGAACCTTCTCTCTTTTGACAGTTCCTGTTGCTTCCATGTGCCTCCAGCTGTGTGACCTCCAGCAAGTTGCTGGAACTCTCTGAGCCTCAGTTTTCCCACCTGGAAAATGGGACTCTTCTGTGGCACCTACGTCACAGAGACAATTGCTGGATTTAACGGAGACGGAGCTGTCAGCTCCGATCACTTGGAAACACACAATGAGCCTGGCGGGAGGTTTGCTCAGTGGTGCTGTGTCCCTGGATTCCTCGCTAAGGCCTTTTGAGGGAGCCACTCTTATCCTTCTCATCTCACAGACAAGGAGATGGAGGAAACACTGAAGGAATTTGCCCAGAGTCAAAGCCAGAAGCGAGTGACCCTGCTTTGCCCCCAGGGCGCCAATTGGAGAGCCTAAACCTTTACCTGCCACTGTCTTGGGAGGGCAGCCCCGAGGGAGGGAGACGCACTTCTTGAGAACTAACCCTTCCTGGGGACCTGGGCTGAGACATGGAGGTAGAAGAGCGTGCGCATACTCACACTCCGCACACATACAGCCACTGAGTGAGCCAGTCCTCCAGACTGAGGACACACACAGCTTCTCAGAGGCTGGGGGAGCTCTGGCCCGAGGCTCACTTCCTGGCTAGTGATTGATGGGCGATGACATTGGTGTCCTGTCCTCAGCCCTTCAGCCCTGCACCCCTGCCCCACGGCAGGCTGCCTGGAGGGAATGATGCCCAGTCATCCCCTTCTAGTCCCTTTCCCTCTGGCACTATGTCCATTTTGACAAACGGTGTCATCCAAACCCAGGCCTGGTTGCCCACTCCTCTCCTTCGACCCTCACCTCCTCCCGCCTCCTTCTCTTCTTGTCCCCCACCCCCTTCCATCTGCTGCTCCTGCCATTTCAGGAAAATTTCCTGTAGAGAGAGAAACTTGTTGCTGAAAGTGTGGGGGAGGCAGAGCCACCCTCTGTCACCCCGCACCCCAGGCAGCCCCTCCTCTTAACCTGGCGCTTTCGCGTCTGGAAGGATTCCTGTGCTGGCTGCTTCTCCCATCCTGGCTGGACGGCAGCCTGCGCTGCCCCCACAGGAAGTGGAGGCGTGGAGCCGCCCTGGGCCACCCCCCAGCCTGCATAAAGGGGCGGGCGGCGAGGCTCCACCAGCGCCTGGCACCATGAGGACACCTGGGCCGCTGCCTCTGCTGCTGCTGCTGCTCCTAGCGGGGATTCCCGCCGCTCGACCTGCTCCCTCGACCTGCTACTCACGCCTGCGGGCCCTGAGCCGGGAGATCACCCAGGACTTCCAGATCCTGCAGGTCTCCTCGGTGAGTTCCCCGCCCGCCCAGGACAGAGAGAGAGAGAGAGAGAGAGAGAGAGAGAGAGAGAGAGAGAGAGAATACGTTTCTTTAAGTGAATGTAAATCTCAAGGGTATTTGTGTTTTACTCACCTCCTACTAAATACAATACTAGCGGTTTGCTTTCGTGGAAAAAAAAGATACCTAATGGAGATGACTGACGGGTTGATGGGTGCAGCAAACGACCATGGCACGTGCTTACCTATGTAACAAACCTGCACGATCTGCATACTATCCCGGAACCTGAAGTATAATAATATAAAGAAACAAAACAAGGAAACGCATTCAAAAACATCATAAATTTTGTTACTAGCAAATAGAAGATCTGTTGTAAAATGAAAAAAGAAGGAGGAGCAGGGGGAGAAAAGCAGCTCCCCATGGATTCCTCAGAGTTAGGAGGATGGAGGAATGAAGCTTGTGTATTCCTTTTCTTAGCCTGGTGAGCAGTGTGTCCTAAAAGGTGGCTCACAGACCTGGCCTCCACCCCTCATCTGCTAAGGGATTCCGGCAGATTGTCAGCCTCTGGCTCTCAGTTTTCTTGTCTGTAAAATGGAATGACAGCAGCACCACTCCCTTTAGAGCAACTTTGGCAAAGGCAGCTGTGAACAGAGGTCCAGCTCACAGAGCCGAGCCTACAGGAACAAGTGCTCAACAGGTGCCAGCTGCTGAAAGCACGACCTTATGAGAAAGACCTAGGGTGTCACAGCGTGGAAGTCCCAGGAGGGCTCCTGGGGACTAGAATCCAGGCCTCTGCCTGCTTCTCCATCACAAAATGCATTAAACTCCATTAAAAGCTTTGATAAAGTTTTAAAGTGTCTTTTAATCACTTGCAAATGTTTCAAACAAAACATGTTTCTCAGATGTTGGGGTTTACAATATCCTAACGCCTTCTTGGTATTTTCTTTTTAAAAGTTAAATTACATGTATTTTTTCCTAATTATAAAGGTATCTTACTTTGTAGAACAGTCGGAAAATGTACAAAGTACAAAGAAGAAAATAAATCTTGCTCATAATTTACCACCTAGAGGTAGCTGCTGCTATAGCATTCCGAAGGATGGTATTTCAGATTTCTGTCTACACATAAATACTCAAATATGTGTGTGTGTAAACAAAATTTGAATCAAACAGCACAAGCAGTTTTGCGACTTTTTAATGACACCATCAAATCAGGTAATTTTTAACACTTTATTGTACAGTTTCACCACAATTTACCCACAAGTTTCTTATCAAATATAGACAGTGATTATCTTTTAAAGTAATCTGATTTTAAAAGGTTTAAAAAATTCATAGGCTCTGAACTGCAGAGCAGGAAGAAAGGGGAAAGATTATGCCTTCTAACCTTCTAATTTCACAACTGAGAACTAAAGGGGGGCACTGGCCTGTGGCCACACGGGGAAGACTGAGAGGGCAGAGGATGAGGGCTTTTGGCCTCCACCCCTGTACAAAAACGGAAGCCCAATATAGAAATGTAAGAGTATGCATATATATGTACTTGTGTATTACTATGTTATACACTATATTCAACCATATGTAGAACACTTATATATACATAAAACACCTATAACATATATAGGTAACTAGTTATATATAATATACATGATATATCTAACTAGTTATATAGCTATATATAAATAAGTAACCTATATAACTAGGTATAGAACATCTATATAACTAATGCATATAATTATATATTTTACTTATATAATTATATATACTATCTATAATTACATGCAGTTATGCAGCTGTTAGATAACTAGTTATAGAACTGTTTTATAGATGTACATACACATTGTATATATATACTTACATTGCTATATTATATATTGCTATTTCTGTATTACAGTTATAGGACCACTTTTAGGTATGTACATGTATGTATATTTCTGTACGGGTGTGTGTATAAAACAGCTCCCTAATTCATGGCAAATGATATAAAGGTTGCATCCTAAAAGTCTAACTCTGGAGGCACAGTCACCCATTCCTGGAGGATGTGACATATGGCACAAGAAAGTACTGTGCATGCCGTAGCATCAGGGAGGCCCCCGGGATCTGGGTCGATCTGGCTGTGGAGAGAGCGGACAGGGAGCCTTTAGTGACAAGGTGTGCCCTGTGGGCATCCCAGCAGCCTGTATCCCTTTCCACAGGAGCCGTGTGTGAGATACCTGCCCAGGCTGTATCTGGACATACATGTAAGAGGGCTCTCCCTGGGGGAGGGAGGTCTGGGGCTGAGGGACTCGGGTTTGGACCTCTGCTGCTGGCTGTGTGGCACAGAGTCAGGGAGAGATCTTATGCAGCTCAGTCTCTGTCCCTCTGGCTACTGACTTCTCCCTCAAGCCCCCTCCACTTTGCCCCACTCGCAGAATTACTGTGTGCTGGACAAGCTGCGGAACTTTGTGGCCGCAACCCAGTGTCGGAAGGTGGACCTGGTGGATTCCTTGAAGGAGAAAGCACGGAAGCTGTACACCATCATGAACTCGTACTGCAGGAGAGTAAGTGGTTGCCATTGAAAGTCCATCTTCCACTTGCTATCACCGAAGACTTTCTGAGCTTTTCAAAGAGGAGGGTTGGGAGGAGAGGGGGACAAGGAAGAGGAGCAGAGATGTTTCACAGATGCTTTCAGTTCACAAAGCCCTTCCTCAACCACGGTCGCCTTGTTCAGTGATGGGGTTCAGGACAAGGCTTCTTTCCTCCATGAGCTGCACACTGATGCAGGGTCTACACCCCACCCACATAGGTAGACCCTGTCAGGAGCCAAATGGGGCAGGTTAGAGGAGACTCTGCAGGAGGGACTTCAGGTGTGCTCTGATAAGAGAATTCTGGTAAGAGAGGGGAAAGGGACAGAAAATCAGCAATAGTTAAAAGGTGGGAAGTAGAGGCAGGTGACTGCAGGGCACAGACTTCAGCATCAGAGAGCCCTGAGCTTGGGTCTATGTATCTCCCTGCTTCCCAAGGGAGAGTGCCTGTCTTAACCTGTTTCTGCTGCTATAACATAATAGCACAGGCTGGGTAATTTATTTTTTAAGAAGAAGTTTGTTTAGCTTATGGAGGAGGCTGGAAGAAAGTCTAGGAGCATGGTGCTGGCATCTGGTGAGGGCCTTCTTGGTGTATCATACCATGGCAGAGGTCATCACACAGCAAGAGGGTAAGAGCCAGAAAGAGTTTCCTATTTTACAAAGCCACTCCTACAATAAGCAACCCTCTCCCAAGGTAATGACATTAATTCATTCATAAGAGCATAGCCCTCACTAATCCATTCATTAAGTCAGAGCCTACATTAATTCATGTACAAAGGCAGAGGGATTAAGTTTCCAACACATAAACTTTTGGGACCATATTCAAATCACAGCAGTGGCCCCTTCACTCCTCTGAGGCACAGTTTCCTCAGTCCTGAACCGAAGACATCATAGTCCCACCTCATGAGACCGCGGGATGGATAATAATAATTACACCCTTACCTTGTGTGGGCATTGCAGCGACTCCCTTGATCCTAAGAAGCCTAGGTAGGGTGACCAAATACGGAATTCCTAGCACCATGCCTGGCCCAGAGTAAGCGCCTCTGAAAGCTGTGGTAATTAGCTCTTAAGTTATAATTTCTTTGTTCCTATATGAAAACTGCGTTATGCATTCCCCCCATGCCCACACCCAGTTTCCTCCTCCTTCATGCTCCCCTTGGTTTGTGGGGGAAGATAGGAAGCTGATACAATTACCATCCAGTGTGATGAGTATTGGTATTGAATGAAGTGAGCGCTGGCCTGCTCTTCATGGTTATTCCTATGCCTGGCCCAGGGTGCTGCTCAGCAACTAAGGTTCATTCATTCATTCCCTCCTTCACCCATTCATTCCCTCCTTCGCCCATTCATTCCCTCCTTCACCCATTCCCTCCATCACCCATTCATTCCCTCCTTCACCCATTCCCTCCATCACCCATTCCTTCCCTCCTTCGCCCATTCATTCCCTCCTTCACCCATTCCCTCCTTCACCCATTCCCTCCTTCACCCATTCATTCCCTCCTTCGCCCATTCCCTCCTTCACCCATTCATTCCCTCCTTCACCCATTCATTCCCTCCTTCACCCATTCATTCCCTCCTTTGCCCATTCCCTCCTTCACCCATTTATTCCCTCCTTCGCCCATTCCCTCCTTCACCCATTCATTCCCTCCATCACCATCTATCCATCTGGTCAACCAATGGATGCATCAATTCCATAAGTGATAATGATTTTAAAAACCATGAAATTACATTGGAATGTAAAGTAAGAAGTGATTAGTTCTTTTTTTGGGAGAGTAAGAGATGGGAAGTTTTCACACATAGGGGAACAACTGAATGAACTTCGAGGATAACCAAGAGCCCTATCGTTGTATATGGACTCCATGACCATCTTCAGTAACTTTCCTCTCATTGCACATCTTTTTTAGGATTTGGTATTCCTGTCAGATGACTGCGGCGCCTTGGATTACCCAATCTCAGAGACTCAGCGCTAAGGCAGCCTAGACCAGACAAACAACCCAAGAGGACTGAAGTTAGGTCAGCTACCCAGACTCCATGAGCCAAAGCCACAACCTCCACTGGTCTTGTGTTAGTTGCATCTGAAAATGTTGTGTGTCTCTCTACCTTAACTCCTCTGAGCACAGAGTTAGCAACATGCTTCTCATTCCCTTTACTCATGTCTTGCCAGGATGGTTAAATACACAGCATGTTGATTTGGTCACTAGAAAGAAGAAAAGGACTAACCGGCTTCTCTTTTATGAACATCTATCTTGAGAACATGCAAAATAGTATGTTTTTATTACTGGTGTAATGGAGTAAGGGTACTGTTTTTCTTGATAGAAACCTGCTTACATTTAACCAAGTTTCTATTAGACCTTCTCTTAACACAAACTTTCTTCACTTTCATTTAAAAAGAAATTAATGCTCTTAAGATACATTTGCAAGTTTTTTTGCGTAGTGCTGACAGGATCCACTCTTTCATTGAAAGGTGATGAAAATCAAATAAAGATTATCTTCATAATGAGAAACACACGTGTCCTGCTGCATGTGTCCAAGGATGATGTCAGGGGTGTGGTGTTTTGTTTTTTTTTTTTACACTTCTCTTGAAAACTGCTCTAAGCATGATGTGTCTTTCTCCTTCTTTCAGTTAAGCTCAGGTGTCTCTGGTTCTGCTTCATCCATATGTATGAATGTCTACTCTTTAAGTGTTGGGGATGCTCTGGCTTCTGTTGAGGACAGATTGTTCCTTTGGGGATATACGTTGGGAGCGGATTGCATCATACCCACAGGTAGTGCTCTGTTGCACTTATCACAAATATCAGCTATTGACTCCACACAGCGAACCCAGAGAAGGACATGGAAGGAGGCTGAGGCTTACGTGGGTTAAGTAACTTGCCCAAGGCCACTGACTGCTAAGTGGGGAAGCCTGGATTGAACCCAAAGTCTGTGGAACTCCAAAGCCCATGCTCTTACCAGCGTGGCCACCTTGGCTCTCTGCAGGTGAAACATGCTCGTCAAATTAATTTATGAACCCAACAATAAAATCTCAGTGAAGAAACTGGATTGTTGAAAAAACATCTCAAATGTTGATTTTGCTGAATTCCACGTTATGTTGGGGGCTTTTGGTTTCTTTTTCTCCCATCTCAACATTAAGGCCAGGCTTTTCCCCCTTAATCCTAGAGGCCTCTAACTTCTCAGACGATTTATGAGAATGATTTATAAGTTTTTATTTTCTATTTAGAAGCACAAATCCACAGAATTATTAGTTTCTGGGGCTACTGTAGCAAGGGACCACAAACTATATGGCTCGAAAGAAGAGAAGTGTATTGTCGCATAGTCCTAGAGGCCAGAAGTTCTGGAGTCAAGGCGTCACTGGGGACACACTCCCTCCGATGATTTTAGGAGAGGATTTTCCTCATCTCTTCCTGGATTCTGGGTGTTGGCGGCAATCTTCACTATGCCTCGGCTTTTAGATGCATCCTTTCAGTTTCTGCCCCCTATCAATATCTGGTGTTCTCCCTGTGTCTGTGTCTCTGTGTTCAAAATTCTTTCCTCTTATAAAAAGTCTAATTATTAAATGAGGAGCCACTCTAATCCAGTATCATCCCATCCTAATCTGATAACATCTACAAGGACCTTCTTTCCAAATAAGGTCACATTAACAGATACAGAGGGTTAAGATTCAGCATATCTTTTTGGGAGACACAATTAGACCCACAACAATCACTCTTTCAAGAAGTAACCCCTTCGCAAAGGAAAATGATGCAACAGGCTGACTCCTTTTTTAATCAACACCACCACCACCGTCTACCACTTCCTGGCAGATACTGAATATGGCGGCAAGGTACCCAGCACACACATTCCTTAGCACACTGAGTCTTCACAGTGATGCTTCAGGATGGGGGCTATAAGCCCTGATTGACCGTGGAGGAGACACATTTGGGTTCAAAGCTTACGCGATTTCTCCCGGTGGTGAAGGATTCCAGACAAACAGACAAGTGCCACAGTCATGTCATGGCCCTGCTAAGCCTCTGCTGGTTCCAGGCAGTAAAAGCAAACCAGCGAAGACAAGAAGACAAGAACTAATTAAAGCATTTCAGACATTTATTTGTGGTTTAAAAAAATTTTTTAACTTTCCAGTTCAGGGGTACCTGTGCAGGTTTATTATATAGGTCAACTCTCAAACTCCTGCCTGCATGTAATCCACCCGCCTTGGCCTCCCAAAGTGCTGGGATGATGGGTGTGAGCCACCGCACCCGGCCTGTTATATAGGTAAACTCATGGCATGGGGGTTCGTGGTGCAGATTGTTTTGCTGCCCGGGTATTAACCACAGTATCTATTGTTATTTTTCTGGATCTTCTCCCTCCTCCCACCCTCCACCCTCCGGTAGGCCCCTGTGTCTGTTGCTCCCCTTTAAGTGTTCGTGTGTTCTTATTATTTAGCTCCCACTTACAAATGAGAGCATCCAATATTTGATTTTCTCTTCCTGTATTAGTTTCCTAAAGATAACGGCCTCCAGCTCCATCCAGATTCCTGCAAACAACATGTATTTGTTTGTTCATTTCTTCAATATTTACCAAGTGCTTACTGTGACCTCCACAAACACTGAGATGAAAAGTAAAGAATTTCTCTTTTTAGGTTACCAAGGGAAACATGCAAAATCTAAAAGAGAGCAGAGGAAGGCGCAAGTGATTCTAAGACGGGGCAGAAAGATTTCTTAGAGGATCTGCAATCTGGGCAAAGATTCGCAAGGGGATGGGGAGCTTTTTGAGCTGAAAAGGGGTGGAGACAGAAGCCATAGCATCGCCACAGGCCTGGAGGCTTCCGGGGGAGGTGAATGGCATGGTTTGGATGCCGCTGTGTGGCTGGGGAGGTGGAGAAGTGGAGCTGAAAATGTAGAGGGCTCCAAGGGTAAATGGCTTCGCTTGCCATAAAGCCTGCCTGGCAACACATCCCACCCCATCACTGGTTGCATGGCCAGGATCATGTAAAGAAGAATCCCTTTCTAGGCAGAAATTTTGGGTGTGTTTGGAGGCGGTCACTTCCCGAAGGGGCCTCCTTGATTTGGGTTACAACAGAAACGAAACAAAGATACTGCTCTTCCTTCCGTGTCCCAGCCCATTGCCACCACCCTGGACTCCTTCTCCCGCTTTCTCCACAGCCAGCTGGTTATCCCTATTTCCTCTGGATCTCCTGACTTCTCCATGTGTTTTTTTCTGACTCAACCCTAGTTCAGAAGCATCTCAGAACAAGCACAGGGTTGTGTCAGTGCTCGGGACTCAATCATCTGGTGGGTCTTACCCTACCATTTGTTCTTGTCCCAAGTGAGGGTCTGCCAATCACTGGTCCTTCTCCCCTGAGGCTTCCAGATCAGAAGGGGGACCTGCTTTGCATGGGCTTGTTAGTCATTAGGGCCTGTGTTCTCCTCCCTCAGCTGATTTGCCTCACCTCATGAAACAAAGCAGAGCCACGGAAGTGGTCAGTGCAGAGGTCTCGTCCAGCTCTGCCGCTTCTTAGGTGTGTGTGGGTGCACGACTTACTTAGCGCCTTTGTGCTTTGGTTTTTCTCCTCTGAGAAATGGGGATGGCAGCAATACAAATTTCATAGCCTTATTTGGGAGATAACATGAATGGACACATTTCAAGCACTTACAAGGTCTGATGGAAATAAGAGTTCTAATCAGCTCTGATTACCATCAAAAGTCAACATGGTGGTTGCTAAAGGGTCCAAGGCTTCCTTTGGATGAGGGTACCTGCAGTACAAAAGGCCATGCGCTCCCTTTTCCAAGATAAGAGCACAGTTGAACATTAACCCCTATTCCAGCCTCCCACCTGGACAACAGCAACAGCTCCCTACTGTCTGCCCTGATGGCTTCCTCCCTCCCTCTAATCCACCCTCCACCCACAAGCCAGAGCAATCTTCCTATGGTGCAAATCTGCCTCCAATATTCCTCTGCTCCATGTCCACCAGCAGCTCCTGTAAAACTCACCTCATCTGGCCTTGGTCTTCCCTGATCTCACCCACTGCTATTTTCCCCCTACACCCATACACATGCCCACTTCTCTAGACGTTTCCAAAAATGCCTTTTCTGAATGTAGCATACCTCCATGTCTAAGCACAAGCCGGGCTGCCTTCTCACCTCCCACACCCTCAGAAGCCCTGCAGTCTTTTAAATGCTCAAGTGTAACTTGTACCCTGAAACTTTTGCAGAATCCCTGATAGAAGGAGCAATCCTCTTTTCTGGACTACCTTTTTCTCTTGTATTTATTTCAACCTTGTATGTTCATCATACTCATCATCAAGCCTGCCCTAGCTGATCGCTTCCTCTTATTCTTCGACGTACTTTGCTCACTTGGCATCCAGGCCCGCACCTCTCCGATTCTTCCCGCCCCACTTCTTTTCCACCCCTGCTACCAGGTCCTCTCGTTCCACGACCTCTCAGCACTGGGGTGGTCCAGGCTCAGCCCTCGCTCCCTTCCCTTCCTCTGCCTGCTCTTGCTCTCTGGGATCTCATGCATCATGGCTTTAGAGAGCATCTTTGTGCTTGTATCAAAAAGCATGGTGTTCAATTTGGCTCCTTTATTTCTCCCAGAGCCTCCTTCCAAGGCATCAGAAATCCTGTACTTCTCTGATGTCTAAATAACCCAGAATGTGACCAATTCTTAGCATTTCCCCAGCTGCGCACCTGATCTAAAGTCACTCAAATATGTTTCCCCAGATTAGTGCAGTGGCTTCCTAGATGGTCTCTCTGCTTCCATCCTTGTCCCGACACAGCTTATCCTCAGCACAGTGGTCAAGGTGAGACATTAAAATGGAAGGCAGCTCATGCCCTTTCACTGCTGAAATCAGCATTGCAGCTTCACAACCAGGGGCAATTTAAACCAACTGAGAATTATTAGGCAAAAATTCTCCTTATTTAAGCCTAGTTGATTTGCAAAAGTGCTAAAAATGCAAAATCCCCTTCTGCATTTGCAGAATGTTCAGTTCTGTAGATTGTCAGATCAAGAACACACAGGATAGAGGAAAGGACTCTCCTGACATCCATTAAGGGTTAGAGAAGAAAAAAGAAAAATTTAGTACAATTATGTGGAAAACGGTCGCGTCGGCAGTCATCACTTAGATTATGTTTCTTCGTGGTGAAGGCATCCCAGGCATTATTTGCGCACTGGATATGCATTTCTAAAATGTTTGCAACCAAATTCCTGAAATGCAAGTCTACTTATTTTTTCGATAACTTTCTGGTTGCCACAGAAAGACAGGGAAACTTGCTCCAGAGTCACTGCTTCTTAATTCACTTGATTCCGATGCCACTTCTGCGGCCTCGGGCCAGCTCAAGGCATTCCTAAGTCAGAACAGGTGTTCATGGTTTTGTCACTTTCTGAGTATTGGGCATCCTTCCTCTGATCTGGGCAGTTGTACGTATTCTACTCTGCAGGGGACGTATCTGAACTTATGCTCTAACACTGTCCACTGATGCCTCAAGGTTCTCTTTATTTTCTGTTGATGGCAACTTCTTAAGTACACGGA